TAATAGTCTTTCTCCACCCTCAGTTCTAGACAGCCACAAGTCTACATTCTTTCTATAGGTTTATTTATTTGGACATTTTCATGTAAATGGATCATACAATATGTGGTCTTTTGTGACTGGCTTTATTCACAACATAATGTTTTCAAGGTTCATCCATGTCGTTTTTTTTTTTTTTTTTTTTTCTTTTTTTGTGGTACGCGGGCCTCTCACTGTTGTGGCCTCTCCCGTTGCGGAGCACAGGCTCCGGACGACAATATACTTTTTTGAAGTTAACCCATTTAAAAAGACTTCTCTATACTTTTCTGGTGTATTTTTTTTTTTTTTTTTTTTCCTTGCGTTATGCGGGCCTCTCACTGTTGTGGCCTCTCCCATTTGCGGAGCACAGGCTCCGGACGCGCAGGCTCAGTGGCCATGGCTCACGGGCCCAGCCGCTCCGCGGCATGTGGGATCTTCCCAAAACGGGGCACGAACCCGCGTCTCCTGCATCGGCAGGCGGACTCTCAAGCACTGCGCCACCAGGGAAGCCCCATCCATGTCGTTTTTATTGCTGAATAATAGTCCATTGTATGAATATTCCTAACATCCTAAATAGCCATTAGTTGATGGACATTTGGGTTGTTTCCACTTTTTAGCTATTAAAAATAGTGCTGCTGTGAACATTTGTGTTCAGGTTGTTGCGTGATCATGTTTTCATCTCTGTTACATCCTCAGGAGTGGAATAAATGCTGGGTCATAATTTCATACTTAACTTTTGAAGAACTGCCAGACTTCTCCAAAGCACCTGCACAGTTTACATGCCCACTAGCAATGTATGATTTTCCATATTCTCCCCAATGCTTGTTACTGTCTTTTTATATAATTATAGCCCTCCTAGTGGAGTGGTATCTTGTAGTTTTGCATTCCCCTAATGACATGAGTATCTTTTCATGTGCCTTTTGCCCATTTGTCTGTCTTGGAGAAATATCTATTCAAATCCTTCACCTAATTTTTAATTGGGCTATCTTTTTACTGTTTAGTTTTGAGTTCTTTATATATATTCCAGTACAAATCCTTATGATTTGCAAACATTCCTCCCATTCTGTGGGTCGTCTTTTCATTGGTTGCATAGGTTACAACACAAGGTTTTTCATTTAGATGTAGTCCAACTTATGCTTGTGGCGTCCTATCTAAGAAACATTTGTCTAACCCAAGATTATGAAGATATGCTCCTGCTTTCTTCTAAGAGTTTTATAGTTTTAGCTTTTACACGTAGGTCTGTGATGGGTTTTCAGTTAATTTTTGTATATGATGTGACCCCTTCCATTTTAAGGACATTTCTGGGAAATTGCCTACACCACTCAGCTTTTATTCACTGGCCAGGACTTAGTTACATGGCCATACCCATTATCTGTTTGAGGCTGGAGAATGTGTATTTCGGGCATCCTGTATCAATTTTTTAAAGAGGGTTGTAAGCCTACTCAGTCATAGTCTTAGTCTGAGCAGGTCAATTCTATTGCTTCGTTTTTCTGATGAACTTGTTTGTCGACTTTCACGAGGATTTAGCAGGCGAGTTTAGCGCCAACGGCCACTGGCGCTCGCTCCCTCGGAGACCTACCCCAAGGAAAACGGCCCCGAGTGACTTGGCCAGCCTTCCCCCCTCGGCAAATGTGGGCTCTAGCGTTTTTCACTTTGGGAAACCGAACCCGCGGCCTTTGCGGCTTCCCCGTTTTCCCGCGCGTTGCCCCCGGCCCGGGGCGCGCCCGCTAGCCCGCCCCTCTTCGCGCCGCGCCCTCTCGGTCCGGGAGCCGCCCTCCCCGCGTGGGCGGCCGGGCGATAACACCGAGGGTGACGGCCGCAGTGCGCGTGCAGCCGTGCGCCATGGCAGTGGCCCCCGAAGGGACCCCGGCCCCGCCAGTTGAGACGCCGCCGCCCCCGACGGAAGCGCACACCTTGGAGCCCGGTTCGGTGAGCGCAAAGCGAGGGTCGCGGGGGCTGAGCCAGGCGCAGAGCGGGCGCTGAGCCGGAGGGGCCCCGGGGACCTTCCGGGCGTCTGGGCGTAGGCCTTCAGCCAGCCCCGGCAAGCCTCCAGGTTGTTGAACTGCCCCTGGTGGGGTTTGACAGTTGAGAGCCGAGAGGCTTGAGGGTGTTCGGGAGCCCCAAAGAGAACAGGATGGGAAACTGGGTCCTAGGCGAGCGAAGTAAGCTGCTGATTCCTTCACCTAGTCAGGCAGGGCCAGGGCCAGTCTAGGGCTCTTGTCCACCGCACTCCAGGTCTTCCCCAGGCCCCCTGCACCCTGGGCAGGCAGGACGCTGAGTGGTGCGTGAGGAGGCTGCCTCCCTTCCCCAGTCTCCGGGCAGGTGCTGCAGGCAGCCACAGCGACCCTCTCAAACCTGGCTTCCTCCAGGCGCCGGGCTCTCCTTGAGGAGACTGCCTCTAGAGATGTCCTTCCTGGCAACTAGGCTCCCAAGTGAGGGTAGCGGGCAGGAGGGAACCTAGGGGCGCCCTCAGCCCCTCGCATTCCCCCTCCCCCCACCCCCTGGATGCGGCTGGGGCGCATGTCGTTCAGGGTGTTGGAGAGGAGTTAGGACGTCTGAACTTTC